TGCGTGTCGTCCCTGTGCCAATCCGATAAGGTTGCGTTTGACGGTTGTGGGGCGTGTTGAGTCTCTGATGATGCCTTGGGTGTTGACCGATCGATCGTTGAGTGCGTCTACGAGCAATTCCGATTCCGAGTCTGAGCCCGTGACTCCCAGCGCTTGGACATTGCCGTGCATCGCGATTAAATCTAGGCAGAGATTCGCGGCTCCCCCCGGTTGGTTCTCTTGCTTCGTGACATGAAGGACAGGGACGGGGGCATCGGGTGAGAGACGATTTGCGCTGCCGTAGAGTTGTTGGTCGAGCATGAAATCGCCGACAACGATGGCGCTGAATAGTTTCCAGTCCGCGAGTGTGCTGAGGAGCGTGTCCATGGGTGATCTTAGGTGTGGAGCGGGGTAAAAAGAAGACAACCCGCACTTGGCGGGTTGTCATGATTCAATCAATATTTGATCGAGTTATGCACAGCATGCTTTGGCGCAGTTCTCGCCGCAAGCTTTCTTGTCTGCGTGGGTGTGACCTTCAGCGCCATGACTGTGGGCCTTGTCGCCACCGCAGGTGCCGCAGCATTCAGTCTTTGATTCGCCGCCGCATGTTCCGCAGCATTCGCCCTTGGATTCGCCGCCGCAAGTGCCACAGCAATCGCCTTTATCACTGCATGCAGAAGTATCACATGCTTTGGTATCGCAATCGCGTTTCTGGGTGCTTTCGCAGCCGACGAGCACGCATGAAACGAGCGCGGCGCCGAGCAGGGCTTTGAGACTGTTCTTCATTGTTCATTCTCCAGATAGGAAGTTGTTCGTACAGGTACCCGATCCTGTGCAGGCCTACGCCGGCGTTTCGGGTTGTTTATCATCGCAATGTTCAGGCACGCTGTCAACCCGAATCGGTCATTCTGGTCCAGATTTGGGTTGTTGAAGTGGGGGCAGGAGATCTGGCCGCCTCATTCGGGTGCGTTTGAGACGCTGTTCGAGTCTCCAGCGAGCGACGGCGTTGTGATCGCCGCTCATCAGGACTTCTGGGACTTCTATTCCTTCCCATACTCGTGGGCGTGTATAGTGGGGGCAATCCAGGAGTTTCGAGCCGACAGGAATATCCAGCCCTTTGAGTGCTTTGGGATCGATCTCGGTGCCGTCGGGGTTGGTGGTGTTGGCGGCGGAGAATGAATCTTCGAGCGCCGAATCGTCGTGTCCCAGCACGCCTGGGAGTGTGCGGGTGATCGCGTCGATCAGCACCATCGCGGCGAGCTCTCCTCCTGACAATATGTAGTCCCCGATTGAGATCTCTATGGGATCGAGGCGCTCAATGACACGCTCGTCGATTCCCTCGTAATGACCCGCGATCATGACGAGTCTTGGTTTTGATGCGAGCGTTTCCACGAGTTCCTGCGTCAGCGGCTGTCCCTGCGGTGTGAGGTAGACACGCGTCGCGGTACGAGGGTCGGCTTGCTCGCACGCGGTCACCGCGTCCCAGACGGGCTGGCACGACATGACCATGCCAGGGCCTCCTCCGAAGGGGCGATCGTCGGTTTTTTGATGCTTGTTGGTGGTGTAATCGCGGATATTGGTCGCGTGCAGCTCCAGAATTCCCATCTGCTGGGCTCTTCCAGGGATCGAAACACCCATCGCTCCCGGCGGCTGGGGGTCGAACATTTCAGGGAATGTGGTCAGAACATCAATCCGCATTGGGGATGATAGTGGGGAGGCGGCGGTTGGAGCAATGAAATTGATGGAAGATGGGGCATGGAGTGGATTTACCGGTTCTTGCGTCCAACGATTCTCTTCCCAGCGGACGCAGACAGCACCAACGGTTGGTGCAGTCGAGGGATTAAACCGGTTTCGGATCGGTACTGCTGGATTGGACTCCCCGCATAGAGCGGGCATTGAAAGGATCACCACATGGTTCGTATTCGTATGCAGCGTCTTGGCCGCACTCACCGCCCGTTCTACCGCATTAACGCGATTGATCAGCGCACGCGTCGCAACGGCCGTGTGCTTGAGAACCTCGGTCACTACAACCCGATGGAGAAGGATGAGTCCAAGCAAATCGTACTCAAGATCGATGAGATCAAGGCATGGCTCGCGAAGGGCGCTCAGCCTTCGGACACCGTGCGTGACATGCTCGGCAAAGCTGACATCCTAGAGGGCAGCATGAAGGCTGAGTGGGAAGCGGATCGTGCAGTCAACATGAAGCGTGGCGAGTGCAAGAAGGCACTCAAAGAAATCGAGGGCATCGTCGCATCGCTCGACAAGATGGCTGAGGATTCCGAAGCGGACCTGACTCCGTTCAGCAACACAGCGAAGAAGAACCTCAACATGGTGAAGGGCACCCTGTCGCTCGCGAAGTCCGAGGACGCTGCGAAGTACCTCGCGGAGGCGAAGGACGCGATGAGCAAGGCGGAAGCCGCGAAGCCAGCTCCTGAGCCGGAACCAGAACCTGAAGCAGAAGCCGAGGGTGATGCAGAAGCTGACGCTGAAGAGTAAGCAGCAAACTCTATCGAATGAAAAAGCCCGCATTGCGGGCTTTTTTTGTGCGATGATCACAGCAAGGGCTGACTATTTGGTACGCTCAGATGTATTGATATTGCAATGCCCACATGGAGGTGATTGGCATGAGTTGGAAATCGTTGGTCTTGGTGAGTCTTTTTCTTGGTATGAATGCGGTTTCGTACGCGGAACCGATCAGTTATCAAGGGCAGCTATTGGTTGATTCTGCTCCAGCGAACGGCATCTTCGATCTTGAGTGTCGTTTGTTCAACGCGATCATCGACGGTGATCAGATAGGGGAAACGGCGGTTGTCGATGATCTGTTGATTGTCAACGGGTTGTTGAACACACGGCTTGACTTTGGAGATGCATTTGACGCGAGTGCCGTGTATCTGGAGATTTCGATCCGTAACGGTGATTCTGATGATCCCTATGAAGTGCTCATACCTCGACAGGTTGTGGACGCCGCTCCCAAGGCGATTCACGCGCTGACAGCTGATTCTGTTCGTGGTCCAGGTTGGTCTCTTGGTGAAAGCTTGCTGACCAACGGCGACCTCCTGACCTTTGGAGCTGGAAACGATCGTGTACTGATCAATCGTGATGAGCTTGTGAATCCGATCGAGTTCTTTGGGGTGCACATCAGTGGGCTCGATATCGGATCCATCGTGATCTCTAACGAGGACGAGATGAAAAGCACGATGTTCGCGCATGTCACTGGAGGCGTGATTGGTGCGTCTGAAGTGTTCAATGGAGAGACTCGGGAGTTGACACTCCAGATTGATGGAGAGAATGCACTCGTAGCGAGCGCGACTGAAGTCAGTGCCCCGTCTGTGTCTACTGGATCTGTAGTTTCGGGTTCATATGCATACGAGAATCCAGTAGCTGGTGCGGTGACAGTGGCGGGGGATGTGTTTCACAGCGCGATGGGGACTCCATTCCTCGCATCGGTGTTCAGTGGCGGTGCGTACATCACAGACGCAAACGCTGCGGTTCCGATGGTCGCTCCGATCACCCTTCCGCACAACGCGACGATCACCAAGTTCACCGCTCGCTTTGAGGACAACGCCGCGACTGATCTGCTTATCTCGTTGAAGGGTGCTGCATCAGATGGATCGCTGCTAGCAATCGCGGATCTCTCCACAATGGGTTCAGTCGCTGGTATACAGAGTGTGTCGACGACGGAGATCGTAATGGAGAACAGCGTCACCGATACACTCAACACTGGGTACTACATCCGTATATTCTGTCCCGCTTGGCCGGGGGATAGCACCTTGCGGATCTGGTCGGTCACAGTGGAGTACACTGTGGATGCTCCGAACTGATCAAGTCTGATTTAGATTCAGCGGCGCCAATCGATGACGATCTTGCCAAACTGCTCTCCGGCTTCCAGTCTTTCGTACGCGCTTCTGCAGTCGTCAGGAGTGAACACTTGATCGACGACTGGTGCAATCGCTCCGCGATTGAAGAGCGCGACGACTTCCTTGAACTCGTTGTTGGATCCCATGGTTGAGCCGAGGATTCGGAGCTGGTTCCAGAAGATGCGCGCGAGGTCGGTTTGCGCGTCAGGTCCTGTTGTGCACCCTGGTGTGACATAGGCGCCGCCTCTTGCGAGGGACTTGATGCAGTTAAGGTGTGCGACTTTTCCGACGGAATCGACTGCCATGTCCACGCCTCGCTTGTTGGTCCAGGATCGGAGGTCTTTGGACCAGTCCTGCCCTTCATCAAGAATAATGTGATCCGCTCCGAGGTTAATCGCTTTGTCCAACTTCCACTGATGTCGAGAGGTGACGGCGACTTTACATCCGAAGTGCTTTGCGATTGTGAGCGCGGAGGTTGCGACGCCCCCCCCGATGCCGGTGATGAGGACGGATTGTCCTGGACAGAGGTTGCCCTTGGTGACCATCATCGAGTACGCGGTCAGGGCGCAGAGTCCGAAGGCGCTGGCGGCGATCGGATCAGCATCGCCGACGTCAGCGAGGTTCTCGACGGGGCATGTGAACATCTCGGCATGGGCGCCGAAGTGGTGCTCTCCGATGAGCTCGTAGTTGGGGCACATCGTTGACGCTGGAGGGTCTTGGGGACTGACGCGGTCCGGGACGACCACGGCGGCGTTGTAGATCACACGCCGTCCGATCCAGGACTCATCGACGCCGGGGCCAACCTTGATGACTTCGCCGCATCCATCGCATCCTGAGACTCTTGGGTATTCGAGGGAGAGTCCTGGGACACCTCGTCCGACCCAGAGGTCCATATGATTGAACGCTGAGCAGAGGGTCTTGATGACGACCTGTCCGGCTTGGGGATCAGCAGGGTCGCTCCAATCGGACTTCAGGGAGATATTCGGGGCGACAGGATTGGCTTGTTTTTCTACGACGATTGCTCTCATGGCGGACTTTAGGGGGCTGGCGCGTTCGAATGGGGGATATTGCAACCCCAGAACGCATTTCTGGCTCGACAAGAGCGGATCAGCGGCCTAACCTTGGGGCCCGCCTGCAAGTGCCGGCGCACCAGAGGATTGACTTATGGACACGCAAAGAATCATCGAATCCGTGAACTCAGAAGCACTGAAAACGGATATCCCTCGTTTCGATATTGGTGACAACATCAATGTCCATGTTCGAATCGTTGAAGGTCAGAAAGAGCGTGTCCAGGTCTTCTCGGGCACACTGATCTCGCGTAAGGGTAGCGGCATCAACGAGATGATCACTGTTCGTCGCATCGTTGGTGAGGTCGGTGTTGAGCGTACATGGCCAATCAACTCGCCGTTGATCGCGAAGTTCGAGGTTGTCCGCCGTGCAGATGCTCGTCGTGCGAAGCTGTACTTCCTTCGTGATCGCGTCGGTAAGTCGCGTCGTCTTCGCAACCGCCGTCGCGGCATGAAGCATGTCGAGGGCATGGAAACCGTTCAGAAGTAAGAACGATTCAATAAGATATTTCAGAGCACCCGCGAGTCGCGGGTTTTTTTTATGTTAGAACGATCTGATTTTGATGTCGTCGAGCACACGGAACTTGCGGCGCCAATCTTTGAGAACCTTCGGATCCACCTCGATACTGAGGACGGCTTCTTCGTCACTGAGTTCGCCGAGGATCTCACCTTTGGGATCAATCGCGATGGTCCCTCCGGCGTAGTGGAGGTTTGGATCGTCACCGCAGCGGTTGATGCCGAAGACGAATGCTTGGTTCTCGATCGCGCGTGCGATGAGCAGTGCTCTCCAGTGATGCTGCCTTGCGTGCGGCCAGTTCGCGCCCAGCACAAACACTTCTGCTCCATCTGCAACCCCCTTACGGAACAACTCTGGGAAACGCAGGTCGTAGCAAATAAGCGGGCAGCACTGCAGCTTGCTTTCACCCTCGCCCCAATCAAATGAAGTTGTGGAGTCGCCGCCTTGGTACGCTTTGGGTTCGTATCCCATGGAGAACGGATGGATTTTGAAGTACTCGCATAGTGTTTCGGTTGCGTGCGGTGAGCACACGGTGGCGCAGTTGTACGCGAGTGTTTGATCTGGTTGGATGATGGAACGCGAGCCGTGGATAATGCACTTGGTCTCTTGCGCGAGGGACTGGAGGAAGTGGAGTGTGGTGTCGTCTTGATCCCAGCAGTCTTTGGTGTTGAGTGTGAAGCCGCAGTCGAAGAGTTCTGGGAGAGCGATGAGATCGCCTGGTGAGATCTGAGTTCTTTCTATGAGCTCTCGGACGCGATCAAAGTTTGATTGGGGTTGTTCCCATTGGATATCGAGTTGAACGAGGTGTGCACGCATGATCTCTCCTTTGTTCAGAGCTTGATAGTTCCGGGGCGGGCCGTGAAGACGAGGACACATTCTACGATGCTCGGATCAACGCGGTATATTTCACACAGCGCTTGTCGATAGACTTCCATCTGTGATCCATGACGCTCGATGAGTACATCATCGGCGAGTTCGGAAGCATCCGCGTCAGTTTTGTAGTCGACGAGTTGGATGCTCTGGATGCCTTGCTCAGTTCGAGCGATCACAAGCCGATCGAATCTCCCTTGTATCAAGCGGTCCTCGTTCTCGATCCGCATCCGTAGTGCGAATGGGCGTTCGTGATACACAGTTGGTTCTTGGGTATTGGGGTGCCCTTTGATCCAAGTGTCGCGATCATGCAGTGCATGGATCTGATCCGATTGAAATGCCTGCTCAACGATCTGTTTTGATATGCTCAGCACTGATTCAGAATAGATTCCGGATTGATTGGGTACTGCAATTGAATGGAGGTCATGTGTAGGATCGTCAATCCAGTTGATTTGCTCGAGCAGTTCGTGGACACACGATCCGATGAGCATGCCATGGTTGGTGCTGCCCGTAGTAGGATCAATATCCAATGGTGATGGTTTGAGCTTAAGAGATGATGGGGATCCCATGGTGAGTAGAGCGGTCTGTTGTGAAGTTCTGCTGCGTATTTCTAGGGTAATCTCTTCGTTGATTCTCTGGTCCTGATTTTCGTGCTCGGCGCTCGCGATCCAGTCTGGGGCACCTGATTCAAACAAGATGTCCCCCGGAGCGCACACAGCTTCTGGGGCGAGTGCAGCGAGAATAATATAAGCTGGTGTGAGCTTCAGCTTCTCGGTCACATCACCCTTCCTTCCATCCTTGTCTGCCGGGACGATCATGTGCAACGCGGACTTGGCGCGGGTCATCGCGACATAGAGGCAGCACAGCTCTTCGTTGATCTGCTTGGCGAGGCATTCATCGTGCATCGCTTTGAGTCCGGGATGGACCCGCTGGAGCAGTTTGGTTGGATACGGCGTGATCTTTGTGATCTCGCTCATTGGATCGTCGCGTGTCGCAAGGATCGAATCGGGGCGGATCGACCACGCTTGTCCAAGCAGTGGCATTACCACCGCATCAAACTCAAGCCCCTTCGATCTATGGATCGTGATGACACGGACCTGTGATCTTCCCGGCTCCTCAACTTTCTTCGTATTGGCCCGATGAATCAGCGTTCCGATCTCGGTTCTACCCTCGTCTTCGAGTTGACCTGCGAGTTCGATCAGTTGCTTGAATCTGTCCGCTCCACGCTGATCCATCTTGGTAATGAGTGCTTTGTACCAATCTATGAGTAGCGATGCACAGCCGTGTTGCTCGATTCTTTGGCGCATTGATGAAGCGAAGGCGTCCAGGTTCCTGATCGAGTCCAGATCGAGCAGGTCGCCGAGGGGTGTTGAGCGTGCGTGATAGAGCGCCGCGGAGTTTCCGGGGTGTTCGATGAACTCGAGCATTGAGATCGCTGAAGCTACACACGGCGCATTGACCAGCGGATTCCCTCGATCTTCGCATGCCTCGATCTCGAGTTGATTCAGCATCGTGAGGAGCGGATAGATGTGCTTGGTCTGGCGCACAAGGATCGCGATCGATGCATCAGGCTGATGGGATTGGATCTCGGCGACTTGGTTGGCGCACGCCCAGAGAACTTCATCGTTTGTCAACGCATTGTCGTCCTCATCGCTATCGGCAACGCTCAGAGTGACATGGCCGGGCAATGCTTTGGCGGCTTTGTGCGTTTCGTACTGGTCGTCCCATTGGCGTGCGACACTTTGTGCGATGGAAGAACTCTGTACAGCGGGATTGTTGATCAGATCACCAAAGACCGCGTTCGTGGCATCGAGGATCCGTTGGGATGATCGCCATGACTTGGAGAGAGATTCTTCCTCAAGAGTGCTCCAGCGGTTTGAGAGCTCGTTGAGCAGCGTGGGTTCGGATTGTCTCCATGTATAGAGCGATTGCTTGATGTCGCCGACGATGAAGACAGAGCGTTCTTCCTCGTCTTGGCTGAGCAACTCGTCGAGGATCGGCTCAAAGAGTCTGAACTGGGGCATCGAAGTGTCCTGGAACTCATCAAGGAGGATGTGACGGATCCGTGCGTCGAGTCGGTAAAAGATGTGCTCAAGCTCGCCTTGGATCGCCGCTTCGTTGAGGAGTCTGGGGGGGTCATCGAACGAGAGTTGGCCGCTGTTCATCTTGGCGCTGCGGAACGCGTCGTCGTAGCGTTTCATGAGCGAGTAGGTTGCGGCGCTGCGGGCGGCGTGCTGAGCGGTGAGGACAAACTGCGCGTGCTCGACAATGGGTTCGAGGCATTGCGCGAATTCTTCACTGCATTCTTTGCTGTAGTAGCTTCCCAACTCGCCTTCGATGATCCAGTTGAGAACCAGCTTCCCGAGCCCTTTGTCAACGAGTGCTTCCCATTGCGAGGTGTTGACATATTCTCTGATGTCGTTGCGAGCATTGAGCCAGCGTTTATCGGGATTCCCATCTTTCTTCGATGGGAGCTCTAGCTGATCAAATTCTTCGAGTGCGTGATCAAGCTCGTCTTGGGTGTGTTTCACACCCGCGAATCCATCAGCGTTCCAAGGCTCTGCTCGTCCATTCGACGCGAGATAGATCGAGTACGCGGACTGGACAAGACGCATGATCGAATCGTGCGCCATCATGCGGATTCGGTCCCCTCCGAGGGAGCGGAGGATCTCAACGAGTTCACGGATCTCGCACGCATCGATCGTCTGATCGACGCTCGACTCTTGGAGCGCTGTGAGATCCTCTTCGTCGAGCATGCGGAACTTGGTTGGCAGACCAAGCTCCGGCGCGAAGGAACTGGCAAGACGAAAGAAGTATGAGTCCATCGTCTGGATCGAGAGCTTGTGGAGATTCTTGCACAGTGAGGCAAGCACATCGGCGCATTGGTTGGAGCTGAGACTCGGCGTGTTGATCGCATCACGGAGTTCACTAAGGGACTTCTCATCAAGGACCGCGTTGCTCAGTCTGAGCAGTACACGATGGAGGATCTCTCCAGCGGCAGCTTTGGTGAATGTTGTCGCGAAAATTGTTGAAGGATCCTCGCCAGCGATGAGCTTTGATATGAAGCGGTTGGCGAGCTGGTAGGTTTTTCCCGAACCGGCTGAGGCGCGGACGATTGTATGAGGAGACTTGGGGGTCATTGGTCCCCCCCGTCCTGAGTGCTGTCTTCGCTTTCAATGAGCTCGAATCCACCTAACTCAAAGCGATTGCCTGTGATGAATCCAGCAATCCCAGCGCTCGGAGGGTAATCGCCTTCTGGGAGTGGATCGCCGGACTTGAGAGCCCGGATCTCATTCACTATCCGGACGGCAGTACGGTCAGCGTCATCAAGTTGCTCTTGATCCCATTGAGCGATTTTCCACACATCATCGCTTTCGGACGATGGAAGACCGGCGTATCCGAGTACAAGTTCACGCCCGTCGATCAGCTCGGCAACGAGGTGTCGGTAGAGCGGCAGCTGCAGCTTGATCCATTCATCTTCGATGAAATGAGCTTTGATGGGATCGGTGACACGTCCAGTCTTGTAGTCGATGACCGCGATCTTCCCATCTGGATGGATATCGATGCGATCGACCTTCCCGCGCAGAGGCATTGGTTGATCGTCGGTATCGAGTTGTGTCTTTGCGGACTCGGGTGGGGTCCATTCGGTATGCGTGATCACCCATCCCATTTTGGTTCGCATTGCTTGATGCTGTGCAAAGAGCTGGAGTCGATAACTGAGCAGCTCGAACTGGACCTTGATCGCACCAGGATGCGATGAGCCATGGGTATGGATAAAGCGATCATTGAGCAAGTGCTGGAGAGCACTGTTGATCTTTGTTGGATCGTCAAGCACACGCATCGTCTCGTCTTTGCCAAACGCATCAAGCACAGCGTGGGCAAGATTCCCGATCTGCAACGCGTTGAGTTCGCGTGCATCCGTTTGAATCTCACGCAATCGTAATGCTCGCTCGATATACCACGATGCTGGAGATCGCAGGTACGCGTCAAACTCCGTCACGCTCATGGACTCAGGAGGTTGGTAATCTTTCCCTATTGTGAGTTGTCGCAGTGATTGATCAATCGAGCTTGGTTTGATTGGTTGCGATAGTTTGTACCGCGTTGATTTGTCAGCTTCGTGATCAACAAAGCGTCGCATGCGGGACGCGAGACGCTTACCCTCGCTTTGGAAAAGCAATCGGCTTGGGGTAGTTGGTTCATTGGATGTTGATGTGCGTGCGGTCATAAATACGGCATCGCGTGATTTGCTGATCGCGGTCATAAGATACGAGTCGCGTGCGAGTCGATCCGTGTTGGTCCTCATGCCCAGTTGTGCTCGGAGAGTGCCGGGGAGGAGCGGATCGTGCGTGACCGATCCCGGAATGGCTGAGTCATTCATTCCAAGGACAATGGCAATCGGTGAGGGATCAAGTGCAAGCTCAAGCCAGCCAACGCTCTCGATGGAGTTCGCAGAGGGTTGGTCAGGGATATGGATTTCTCCGAGGCGGGACAAGATGATCGAGAGTGCGCTGGTCGCGGAGAGTTTAGGGAGATCGTGTCCATGCGATTTGGCGATCAACAGATCTTCGTGGATTGATTGAACCGCTTGGAGTTGACTGATGTGATTTCGATGATTCAGTGATGATTCGTCGATTTCTACGCAGTCATAAATGCGTTTGAGGGTCAGGATGAGACGAGCTGACCACTCATCGAGCGTTGGTTCGCTTATTGGGAGTTGTGTCAGGTGATCGAGCATTGCCAATGTTGCATTGAGAACAAATCGGGCTTCAGATTCGGTCGAATCCCGTACACCTTTGGGGAGTTGATTGGAGTTGACGAGGGCATGGTCCTGAAGGAGCTCGTCAACAGCGTGCAACCAGTTCGCGTTGGGTGGGCGCTTGTCTGGATATTCTTCGGTGTATCGAGCGGTCAATGCCTGCTCGAAGTGAGGGTGTCTGATCAAGGCGGAGAGGGTGGTGTAAGTTTGGTCCCCGAGGAAGTTGTAGATGAGTTCAATCAGCCGGCCGACGCTGGTAGTGCGGACTCGCTTGCCTGCAGGATCATGAATCGTGATTCCAGGCGATGGACTAATCATCGCTGTGGTTCTTCGGAGTGTTCCCTTGATTGACTCGTCGGCGAGTCCGATGACGCACGAAGTTGTGTCGAGCGGATTAGAACGCTTTGAAAGCTGAGCGAGTCCCTCTTCGCACATGGAAATTGGATCCATTGAAAACTGGATTCGGCTTTCTTCAATGTCCAGATCGAGGTCAATCCATTCAGTGGTTTTCACACAGCCAAACTCGTCGAACCGAACCGACATGGACTCTGGTGCAAAGACGAGTGCAGTGAACTGGTAAGGACTCTGAGTGATGCACGATTTCGGGATATATCCGAGTTCAGGCACTCCCAGGAGCACGAAGTCATTCTGAGCTTGATCCTGCAAGTCGGGCCGCTGGATACATTTGAGCGATTCAAGATGATCATCGACAGTTGCATGATCGAGGAGAAGCTGCTCGTATCGGTTCTGGATCATTCCCAAGATGTCCCAGCGTTGTAGCTCAGAATCCAACAGCAATGACTCTGCTCTATCGTGGACTTGATTCATTCGAAGTCCAGCGTCGCTGAGCTGGGATGTCGTGGACTGGAGCCAGCTAGCGAGTCCCATCCATTGATCCCAGCGGCTTGGTTCAGGGGGATTCGGCACGATTACGCTGAGGTCTTGGGGGTCGGTTTCCTGGAGTGCTTTGACCCAAGCAAGTTTCTTGCTCATCTCAGTCGCTTGTGGGTATGGAAAATACAGGATTTGGCGTGCGATGTTGCTGGGAGTGCAGAGCGATGGAGGGATCAGAGGGATGCCAAGCGATTGGCAATGGTCAACGAGTTGGCTGAGGAACAAACGCGAGGCGCGCCGGCCGGGTGTGATGATGGTCAGGTTCCCGAGATCCAGTTCATTGCGTGGATTGAGGTAGTGGTCCATGCACCATTGGATCGCACTCTCGATTGCGGGTTGTTCCCAATTCAGAAAGTGTCGATTCAACGCATCATCCATGGCTTTGATCATAGGAATGCCTTGCTCGAATCATGGAGGGTCATGGATTGATCTCAGGGGTGTTTCCTCACGCGTGGATGACAACGACTGTCCGCCGATAACTGGAAAAACACCTGATATCAGGTCGATTTGGGGCACTCATTCGCATGAAATGCGTATAATTTCAGCACTTCCTTGTATCATTATCATGCCGCTCTAAGGGCAAGATTGCACGGAACATCATTGACCAATGACAGGATCAGGTATCGAAGGTGCTGGTCCATGGAGACTGATTCGAATGAACAGCAACGCGATGCGTCGTTTGACCACACACAGCTCACTTCTCGCACTCGCATTGATTGCGGGTTCCGCGCTTTCGAGCGATCAGTATGATCCACCTGCGAGCTATTACGCAGGAGCGACGGGCACAGGTTCGACACTGAAGTCACAACTCACCGCTGCGATGTCGGCGGGACACATCCAACGCAGCTACGGCGACTTCCGTGTGATGTCCCGCTATGTGGATCAAGATCCAAACAACACTTCGAACATCTTGCTCGTATACAACGGAAACTCTGTGTCCGGTCTTTGGGACTCAGGTTCGACTTGGAATCGCGAACATGTTTGGCCACAGTCGCGTCAACCTGGGAGTGCATCAAACTCATCCAGAGGAAACCTGGGTGACGCTCACGCTCTGCGTCCTTGCAATCCATCGATTAACTCTTCTCGCGGCAATAAGCCGTTCGGTCTTGGATCGACGACGGGGAATCATCGAAGCTTGGGGACCTACTACTTCACAGGAGATGTCGACAAGGGCGATATCGCTCGTAGTCTGTTCTACTCAGATACTCGTTGGTCATCACTCGGACTCTCGTTGGTCAACGGGAATCCAAGCGGGAATCAAATGGGAGACCTGAGTTCATTGCTGGTCTGGCACTACAACGATGCGCCGGATGAGTTTGAGCGCCGCCGGAATCATGCGATCTCTGACTCTACGCTCAATCCGTTCTACTACACCAACAACCGCAATGCGTTTATCGACCATCCGGAGTATGTTTGGTCGATCTATGTAGACCAGATGAACGATTCAACCCTCTGGGTTGGGGATACCCCCAGTGCGGACGGCAGTTCCTCGCTGACTGTTTCCTTCAATGCACTTGTGGGTGATTCGCCCACAGCTGTCCCAGTGACTATTCAGAAGGATGGAAGCGATGGGACTTACTACACTGTCGTCCCAACCGCAGGGATCGAGACCTCGGTCTGGACCAATGCGAACGCGTTCCCGATGAACACGCCGAGCGATTCGAGCGTGTTCTCGATCATACTTCCTGCGGGAGCAACGGATGCTGCTGGACTAAGCACTGAGTTTGTCGTGATCGATAATCTCGATGTCACGACTCAAGGCGGTGTAGGCAATGGCGCCAACGATGGTGACGATGTGGTCACTGTTGAGGTGAATGTCTACGAGCCGGTTGATGGTTCGCTTGCTGCTGGCGTGGATACGCACGAGATTACCGTAGATCTGGGGACGATTGATCTTGGCGCTGGTGTAGAGATGCAGATGATCGAGTTCTTCAATATTGGGGCCGCTCCAGTTGGTGCTCCGATGGATGTCCAACTGATCTCGTCGTCGGGAGATACCTCAGCACTGATGACTGATTTTTCGAGTATCCAGTCTGTGCTCGCTCAATCGAGTGCACAAATCAACGCGATCCTCTCCGATGCGGTCGAGGGTCAGTTCTCAGCGACTTATACCTTCCGTGCTGTCAATGACGAGTCGCTGTTCGGAGCTGCCGCGAGCGGCGATGAACTGATCGTGAACCTCGTTGGTGAGGTCGGATCGTCGTGTGTCGCTGATTACACTGGTGATGGACTGCTCAACTTCCTCGATGTCTCAGCATTCCTGACTTTGTACGGTGATCAAGATCCTGCGGCAGATTTGACTGGGGACAGCAACTTCAACTTCCTCGATGTCTCCGCGTTCCTCGACGCATACGGCGCAGGCTGCCCGTAAACAAACCAAAAGCATAAGTAAAAAAACAACCGCCAGCATCTGACTGATGCTGGCGGCTTTGTTTGTGTGTGGTTCAACTCAATCTGTGATTACTGACATCCGCCGGTGTAGATGTTCAGGAAGTTACTGATGTCGAGGAAGTTGAAGCTGGAGTCGCCGTTGGTGTCGCCTGGAACGAAGCGATTGGTGTAGAGATCAATGAATCGGCTGACATCGAGGAAGTTCAGGTCTCCAGATGCATCGTAGTCCGCTGGGCATGAGACGAATCCGTTCTCTGGAGTCATCGCTTGGATGTCGATGCCTGTATCAAAGACACGCAGGATATCACCTGTTGCTGGATCCATCTCGTGGACCATGCCATCGCTCCCAGCGATGTAGAGCATGCCGTCGGCGCTGATCATCGAGGTTGCGTCCGAGTCAACAGCATGTGTGCCGGAGTACTCGATGCCACCCTCGAACTTGTTGAAGAGGTAGACAGTTCCTGCTTCGGCACCACCGAACGCGATCCCTCCGAGGAACAGGGTGTCTGATCCGAAAGCCATGGAGTTGATCAGTGAGCCGCATGCGGCAAAGAAACTGAAGTTGTCTTGGCCAAGCGGGGAGCGCACAGCAAGTGATGAGAATCCGCCGACGAACAATCCTCCCGCGTCGATTCCGATCGCGGTGATGTCGGTTTCTTCGATGACCACTGTCTTAGACACTTCATGGGTGACAGGATTGATGTAAAGAACACTGCCGTTGCTGTCAGCGACAACGAGCTCATCTCCGACCCATGACATCGCGCTAGCATCTGCTGGGACTGAGAACGCGCCGGTCACGAAGTCTGTAGTAATATCAAGTGTGTAAATCGTCCCATTCTGGTCGCCGAGGTAAAGCGTTCCATCACGCGAGATCATGGAGTTGACTGGACCGCCGCAGATACCACGGAAGTTGATGTTTCCTGTTACGGTATCCAGTTCGTGGACAACGCCTTGGCTTCCTGCGATGAGCAGAGTCTCGGCTTGTGCGGCTCCCGGGAGGGTGAGCAGCGCGATTGCGGTGGTGGTGAATGCTTTCATATGGAATCTCCTGTCTGTGTGGTGTTGTTCGATTCGTCGTTCAACAGTTCCATATTCGGGGGAGATCCGGAGTTTTAAACCCCACTCTTTGGTGGGAAGTTCGTGAATCACAATTCTGGTCGTGCGCGTCCGATGAACTTCGCGAGCAGTTCGCCTCGTGAAGAGACCTCAAAGTGTCTGTAGATCGCGAGCACATGCTCGTGGACAGTTGCTTTGGCAAGACTAAGTTTGAATGCGATCTGTTTTTCGGAATCGCCGTTGATGAGTTCTTTGAGGACTTCGATTCGGCGTTGTGTGAGTGAAGACAGTTTTGGTTCGTCTGCGGCAGCGAGATAGGTTCCGATCTCTTGATTGATGATCATGTGGACGAGGGTGATGATCCCTTGTTCGCGAGTAGTGAAATCTTTGGAGCCAACTCCTTTGTGGAGCCAGAGTGTGGTGCAACGATTCGGGATCGGAGTAGGACAGATCGAGATGATGTAGTCGTCGATGCCGCAGACGCGATGGACCTCGTTGAAGGTCTGCGATCGATACCAGGTATCGCGTCCCCAGATCTGGTTTCTGGAGAGCATCATTGTGGTGCCGTCGAACTTGCTGAGGTATGGATACTCTGGAGTGCGTTCGACTGGGATCGAGCGTGCGTATTCCTGCCAGCGTACTTCCGCTTCGTTTGAGATCCAACCGGCACGATGGAGTCCGAGACTCTTGGACTTCATCTCCGAGGTGCATCCGAAATGCTCCATCTCGGAGCTGATAATGACCTGCGCTCCGACGAGCTCTCGTAGATCGCTGAGGAGGGTGTGTCTCCACGCATCGACATCGCTCCCACGATCGCGGCAACGCCGAGCGATCCCGTGGCACTCGTGGACATCGTGTGCTGAAATCTCTGAGAACATGAGGTCTTCCTGTGCTTACTGAGGTCTACATAGAGTATTCGTGTTGCAGTCTACGCAAAAAATCGACGGGACTGATCATGTCAGTCCCGTCGAGTTGTGGTTACAACTGTCAAGTTAGCAATGATTTACGGGCATCCGGCGCCGAATGCTGAGAGGAACGCAGAGACATCGAGGAAGTTGAAACTCCCATCGTTGGTCAGATCCGCGACCGGATCAGCGTTCGAGAAGAGTGACAAGAACAGCGAGACATCAAGGAAGTTGAGTGATCCATCTTTGTTCAGATCTGGGACACACACCTGGATTATCGGCTGATACTCGTATGCTCCCGCGTCCACAGCAGGGGTTCCCAATCCGGTATCGATCGTATCGGGATCATCCACAAAGCGTGGGTTCCCGGCGTAATCAAGTGGGAGTTGCTCGAGCGTATCCATATCGCCGTCAATGTCGATGTTGTCGACTGGGACGAGTGCATTGTCTCCCATATCGATCGCGCCTGATCCCGCTTGGAGTGTGTAATCCATGTTCATCGGATCGGTGAACATTGGGTCGGCGCTGGTGGATCCTGTGCCGACGAAGAGGGAGTCCGTCCAGCCTTGAATCACGGAGTTGTTCATCGCGTGTCCTGATCCGACACCACTCTCGGAGTATTGATTCCGCTCATCGCTGACGCCTCCAGCGGAGTTCCCCCAGAGGATGGTGTTGGTCAGGGTGACTTGGGATCTTGAGTTGGTGATTCCGCTGGAGCGGTAGTCGAACGAGTTTGGTGAGGAGTTGTTGACGATGGTGCAGTTGATGATGTCGATGTCTTCACCAAGAGTGACTGCAAGTCCACCCCCGCCGTAGATGCCGTTGGAGACATTGTTCGCGATGATGTTGTTGGCAAAGATCGGTTGGCCCCCGGCGATGTAGCACCCCGAGGTCCCTTCGTTGTCGCTATTAAACTCGACTCGGTTGTTGATGAACTGATTTTCGACACCAGCAGTGAGTCCGTTGAGTTCGACGCCGCCGACCCAACCATCGTACTCGAAGAATCCATTGGCGCCCCAGAACACA